TTGCCTGTTCTAGTTGAGGCTGTAGGCTGCAAAAAAAAAAAAAAACCACACACATACATATAACTATCTTAAAATAGATAAAGAATGATGTACTCTCTCTGTAGTACTTGGATAAAGTTGCTGTCAGGCAAAAATTGTCGAGCGCTCCTCGTTTGATGATTTTGACATTTTAACAATTGTTCCCCTCCGTTTTCTGCTAAAGGAATGCGGCAACAACCAATGGAAGCATGCTTTCTCACACCTTCCTATAGCCAGCATATCAACTGAATGACGTTCAAAACAGAGCTTGTTCAACCTCTGGCTTTGACCCTGGTTGTCATGGTAACAAAATCAATATTTACCACGGTATCTGAGGTGGTTTTGCAACGTTCTGTGGGAACCCTTTACTCGGTCCTTTTACCGTTAATACTCGTTACTGTACTAACAGTAACGACCAGAAGACGATATTCTCGGTTACGCTCTTTATTGGATGCCAGGAAGTTCGAGACATGGTCGTGGAGTCTTTTTTTTTGCGAGATTGCGGAAGAAGGTCGAAACTGTCCAGCATGGTTTTTACTCTTTATACTCCCTAAGGTGCCCGCACCCAGGAGGGTCGCTCTGCTTAGCGTGTTTGCATATAAATGACTCCACAGTCTTAGCTGGTTCTGACTAGATATGTGGGCCATGGAGCAGAGAGATTAGGGACATGCTGAGCCAGGAGAAAAGGTCACAATGACAAAACGCCCTAGGTCAAGTCACCTAATTAGTTGTACCGAAAAGGGCTAATCAAAAACAGGGTGCAAGTGAGCACCATATTTTCCACACACCTAAAAGCATAAAAGGTTCTCAAAAGCCGACAGTGCACCTTATAATTCGATGCACCTTATTTATGGATCAATATGATGATGTCTTGGATGTCATATTTTAAAGCGCTGTGTTACAGCTGCAGCGGTATAAATATATAAATAAAGCTACATCGTATTGTATTGTATTCCTTTACCGTAGCTCCATCTAGCAGATGCATAAGGCAACCGCAGCCACTATTGTGGCTTCTATTCTATGCGTCTTTTTATGCGGCGCGCCCTATAAATGAAAACAGTTTTGAAATAGGCCATTCATTGAAGCATTATACTCCGAAGCGCCGTATAGTGCGGAAAATAAGGTACTTGGGACTCGATGCTCATTGAGACAAGACAAGAAATAGGGTGGATAAAGTGTGCTAAAAGTTTTGATCCTTGCGGTATTTTGACGTGTCCAATATTAAAACAACTGGGAACTGTTATTAAATGGTGAACAAAATACATACAATGTCTGCTTTGAGGAAATCACCTGTCCCTTGAAACCCAAATTGCTTTTTTCCTTGCTTCTTTCATTCCCTTCATTTATGCATCATGGCCAGAATACAGGATTAAAAAGAAAACATGCAGTTTATGTACACAATCGTTCAACGGTGGCTTCGAATGCAGTTTTTCAATTGGCTGCCTGATGTAGAAGGCACGTTCGATCATCTTGCTGCTCTACTCTATCAGAAAGTCAAGTTTAAATTTGATTTTTTTTTTTTCCCCTACAAGGCACCAATCCCTGATAGCTGAAGAAACACCATGCAGGCTGTCCCGCTGTGCTTAATATAACATCTGTGCCTCACACTCACTTGGCATCTTGCAATCTTTTAAGCAATCACACGAAAAAGAGAAGTTGTTTCAATAAGTGGGTTACACCAGTGATGTAATATTGCCACGCTTGCGAAACACAGTCAGACTCCTTTCAAGGAATTAAAAGAGTTGACGAATGAGAAAATAGGGCATGCTTGAACATGGCACTCTTTCAATATGCAGTATAATGTTTGATTTGGTTTTATTTTATGTATCAGTTTTTCAGTCAATTTCAACACACCGTGGGATAAAAGGCACCAAGGAATACATGAAAAAAAAACTGTTTTCAAATTTTAAGTTTTTAATATGATTAAATTAGTTCAAAGCATGTGCGAGGCTTAAAACTCTTCCAAATATTTTTTAAATGGTCGCTCAACATTGTAGATTTTCACCTACTGTGGGTGCATTTGTGAACCTTGCAATAAATGGGGGTTCGCTGGATTGCAATGATAAATTTGAATATGAGCAACATGATGATGATGATGATGATAATTATTATTATTATTGTAAGTTTTAGTAGTAGCATTTCAATGAGTGCCCTCATTATATTGCTGTAAAAATGACTCGATTGTACTGCATGGTCACTTTGTTTCATCAAAAACGACAACAAAAAAAGTTGCCTCTGCAGAGTTTGCAATCAGCATGAATTCATTGCAATGTGTTTTACAAGCGACATGATTCCAGAGTGAGGAACATGAAAGATGCTTGCAATGTTTTGATGCAGCTGCACTTTCACCTCGTCCGTCGTGTTGACAGCTGCTCACTTCTGCGCATGCCCCTGAACTTCAGGGGAGACATAAAAAAAATGTAATCCAAGATAAAACAATGTCAATCCTGCATTCGTCTCTATTCTTTCTCCGGCGCATGAATGCATCCCACAGTTATTAAGTGGAACGTTAAATGTATTTTGCTGTGACCTCTGACACAAATGCTTTTTATAGCAATTGATTGAAGAAGTCCAACCTCTGATCAAGTGCCTTTTTCTTGCCAGCAAAAATGTTCAAAAGTCTAAACCAACGTAAAGTACAGATGCAGTGCATTCATCCAACAGCAACCACATCCATGTGTTGTTAGGAAACTGTATGACGTGTTATGATGTCCTCATTGGGCTCACGGGTACACCCTGGAAAGGTCGCCTGTCACTCACAGGGTGCATTTGGACAAACAAACATGCATACTCACATTCATACATACGTGGGCATAAATTAAAGTCACAGGGGACATCACTGCATATAATGCTGCATTCGAGGAAGGTGGGAAGTGGGATTTATCCCACTCGAAATGTCCCAGTTCCGACCTTAAAGTGTTTTTGGGGAATGTAAATAACAAAGATGGCTGATTCCAATAAATTCTTTATTAATCTGGTTCATCACAACATATTTTGACCTTCAGCAAACCTAATAATTTCCTTAATTTATTTCAATTAAGAAATACTTTATCATCAACGCATTTCATTCATTTCACCCCAAAACTTCATACAGGGAGATAACGGCATATCTTCATGCAGTCAGAATAAATCACATTGTGTTAGGTGAAGTAATTTCTAATAACTACGTTAATGTAAATAAATAAGCCAAAATATTGTATATGTTTAAAATCTGGTAAATTATGTTTTCCAAAATTATGTTATCCCCCATGCCAAGGCAAGGGGATTTTTTAAAAAAAATTTTAATGCTCAAGATGCTCTCAAACGTGATCAGCATTTGGGGCAACTTTTTAGTAATCCCAGCAATGCTTTAAAACACTTTAAACTCACCAAAATATGGTGAAAGAAAGTGAGTCATGGTGCTAATGCTGGTATTATCAGGCCCCTAGACAGACACAGATGCCATACATCAATCAAAATATGTCCATGTTTATACCACGAGCACGTTACAGCATGTAAAAATAGCTCCTACCTTATTCAAACATATCCAAACGGTTGAGCAAATGAACACCTTTGCATCCACCTGTCCATTCAATCAGTGACGGCAAAGCGTTGTGTGTAAATCTCCTGCTTTCAAAATAAAAGTGCAGTGACAATAATTTACAAACAGGAAATAAATAAATAATTATTTATTAATGACTTTTTGGTGAGTGATTTGAAACTGTTAATAGATTCCCGTATTTTGTTTTTTTTCCCCTCTTCCTGGTGTGCTGCAATACGCTTGCGTATGTTTGTGTTTTTGTTCGCAGCAAGGAAAATAAAAGAACCACGTGTGATTGAATTTGCAGTTATTCTGGGAAGGCTGTCATAAAAGGGCCAATATTTGACTGGTAGTTTTCGCGGTCTCCCATGATTTCCTAACATTAATGGTGGAGACGGAGAAATAAAAGAACAATCGGGACATCAATCTGAAGCGTGCCTTTTTTTTTTTTTTTTTTTGCTGGATCGGCGGAGCCATCATACGCAGCAAGAAAATGAACGATTCCATGTCGAACAAACTTGGCACAAGGTTGAATTGCAAAAATTGCATTTGTACAGCGTGGCGCTAAATGCCTGCTGCCGAAGCTCAGCATGAAGCACGTTCATCTCTCCCACGCTTGTGTGCAAAGTCAGGGCGCAGACAGCCACAGCAGGTGCATATTCGGCTGACCCCCGTGTGCCCAAAAGCCCCCCCCCCGAAGCTCACGTTATCTCCATCTTCCATTTGAACAGCTCTCTTTTGTCTCAGTGCCTCTGATTTATGAAAGTGCTGCTATGACCTATATACAGTAGCAAAGGCCATTTAAAAGGCGTGTGTGTGCATACAATTATGCATCCCGCTGTGTTCATCGCCGGTGGGTCTCCTGTGCGTGTGGAAAACGTGAAAGTCTACCGTGTGCAGGTCCCTGACGGGGAGGGGGGGCTCTCCGGTATGTGTCTTGAGGTATATACTGACCCTGATGTGTCACTTCTGGTTATAGCGATGACCACATAACCGGTGGACCACCATGAATCACTCAAAACACACAAACCTTTGCAGCCCCCCGCCTCCCCTTTACTCTTTACTGTACCACCGCCCTTTACATCCATCCTTGTGACATTATCCTCCTGGCAAGTCTATAGGCTCCACTTTATGGCACGAAATCCACAGGGCAGGAAAACTTTGTCCAACAGTTGTCACATTGTACATACATCATGTATGCGCGCGCGTGTCCATTTTCCCAAGTGCCAACTTGACCTCGCACAATTTGCATTTTACGAACACGGTGGCCTGCCTTCAGGTCGAGTACATTAACCTTTTCGAAAGACTTTTGTGCAGCCATTTTAACTGGAGCACACACACAATTGTGGGAGAAGTGTTTATTAGAGGTCAAGAAAAAAAATCGGTTGACAAACTGTAGGATTTTTTTTTAACAATCACTTTTATCTACCAATTATTGATTAAAGACGTGAACAAGTGCTTCATTATGTAATAATCTTCGACATCTTTTTTCCCCCCAAATCGACATTCATATTAAGTACACTTATGGAAATTTGAGCTACCTTTATAAAGTAGAAAAAAAACCCTACTTGTAACAAGTATCCTAACAATAAATAAATATCAGAATGACAAACATTCCATCTGTACTATGTCTCAGAACATGAAAAAGACTGCTTTTCGTTCAGCGCACACAACATTTGATAACTTTAGAGGGCAAAACAACCTCCATTTCTGACAATGATTTGTATTTCATAGTTGATGAAATTAAGAATGCTCTAAAATGGATTGACATGAGGGCTGCTGGGTTACAATCAACACACTCAGGTACATAGTTTTCTTTTTCCCTCCCACACACACTATGCTTCACATGGTTAAAAAACAAAGAAAAAAGACAGCACTCTATCTTGCATCCTTTGGAACCTAAATAAATAAGAACAATTCACAAGAGGGAATTGACCTACAGGTTTCGCTCGACAAGCTAGTGGTGTAGTCGAGAGCAGTCACAGACTTAAGAGATTGTTTCAGAACTCACTACAAGAGTAAACATTGATCATTACCATTATATTGCCCGTGAGGATCGCGTGTGTGTCCACAAATCTGAAGTAAGAGGGCAGGAGGGTGACTTGAAATAAAGTAGTCCACCTTCGCCATCACATTAACATGACGCTTTCCTTAAAATGGCCATGGTTGAATTTTGAACTGCAGGATGATCATCGAACTGTATATATATATGTACACAATGGAAAAAAGAACAAAAGGCAGCCAAACGCGAGCGCCTTCAAGCAACCCGGTTAAATCCTCCTTCAAAAGAAATGCATAATAGGAATTAAAGTTTCCTTCAGGGTGTGCTTTAATGCTTATGGTCCATGATGCAATGCAATGTGGGAGGCGCACATCCATGCGCACTTGACTCTTGCCGAGATGGAAGCCATTCAGGAGCCCGTCGGGGATGAAAACCCCTTCCTCAAAGTGTCCAAAAAAACATTCAAGTACACATTTCAACTGTGCAGGGGGAAATACTAGAAGAATGGCTCTTTTGGTTCTCTTCACTTCCTGCTCTTTCTTCATTCTGGTCCACAGTGTCACACTGATGATGTCACTGGAGAGAGGTGAGGTCACCTGATGACGCCGAACACTTGCCCTGTACAAAAGATACACAAGCTGAAGTTGAGTCCCACTGCAGGTTGAGCCTTAAGTCTCTTCGGCCAAGAGGTCAATCTTGGAAAAGTGTTTTCAGTTGACAGGGGTGAGCCATTTTGGAGGCCTGGCAAACACATATGATGCTGGTCATTAATGTGTTCTCACGGATTAGGATTAAGGATTTCAAAACACACAAATACACTGGAACCTCAATACAGTGGTACACTGTGACTTGAGTGCAACAACTCCCGCTGGTCATGTGTTTTACACCTTGGTATAAAGTGAATATAAAATGTCTACGCACCCCTGTTCAAATGCCAGGTTTGTGATGTTTACTTGAGAGCGAGAGAGACCAAGAGAAATTTTTTTTTCACCATCAATATGACTTATACCTGGTACAACGCAGTTGTAAAAAAAATAAAATCTATTCAAGAGTGGAATTTGAAATGAGCAATTGAAAATTTGGTTACACAAGTGTGCGCACACTCTTATAGCTGTGGACGTGGCTGCAATTAGAATGAATCGACCATATTCATACTTAAGTTAAATGGGAGTCAGCACATACCTGACCCCATTTAGAGTGCCTCGGATTAACCACAAATTAAGTTCAGATGTTCTAGTCGGCTATCCCTGACATCTTTTGGTGTTGTATCTTTGAAGGTGTGGCACGAATTACTTGATACAAGTACTAGTTGTTCAGTAAATATGATTGAAAAAGTTTGGAAGCAATTACCGGTAATATTGGTCTCTTTTTTTTCCCCCCAAAATATCCAGTTTTTTTTTTTTTTTACGCAAGAATGTCAAGACTTTAGCCCGTTGGCAAGATTAACGCCACCTAGTTTTGTTTATCTTTTAATTTGGCTGTGCTGTGTTTTCTGTGATGCCATTACAGCAACCAGCGATGGGAGCAAGAAAATGTTTGCACAATTAGATGCGCAATATCTCCGTCCTGGCAGCTAAAGTGCAATAACCAGCTCAGAAAGAAAAAAAAAAAAAGCAAGCCTGCCTTTTCATCTTTGATCTTTCCAGTGTTGGCCATCAAAATGGCTCTGATGCTACTCAGAATAAGCAGCTCCAAAAACATGAAAAACAGCTGTGGACATTTCTGTTGGAAGCAGTAAAAAAAAAAAAAAAAAAGGGATGAAAGGAACTAAACGGGGAGTGAAAACGAGCAGAGGCTAACCTATCAAGAATTGTTGGCTTTGCCACTGAAATTCCATCCGCACTCGATGCTCCGGCCTTGACAGAGGGTCTTTGTCAGGGTGATTTACATAAAGCAAGCCTGCCAGGTGTCTCATAAAACACGAGCCACACAGTTGGCCATGCTGGACACGCATCTCCGCGCAGGCTGCCCATTATCGACAAATCAACACTAATAATTCATAAAACAATTGATTTTGCACACGTATTGTTTATGGAAGGTAACGTGCTTTCCATGGGTCCTCGAATGCCCAGTACTCATTTGATTGATTACACATTATTATGCAAGGTGGCAATGAAGCATGCGAAAAATTGGATCCGCGCGGTTTTTAAAAGATTACCGCGAGACCCCGGAACAGATTCGTTCAATATCTATTCATTTCAATGGAGGAAAAAATAAAATGCTGAGAAGTCCGAAGAAATTGGGAGTCTTGATTTTGTGGAGGTTCCAATGCATTCGTCCGTATAAATCATGCACTCTTGGGCATTGCCGTGCATCTCCAAGTCGTTTGTAAACAAAAGAGAATTAGTGTGAAACACTGTACCTTTCTTGGAGCCTCCATTATCGAATGTCTCTAAACAGCTGAAAGATAGATGGACAAACAGTTTAGAGCAGGTGAACACTGGAAGGCGATTGGAAAAGGGAAACTTGGCAGTAAGCCCCACCGAAAATATGCTTTGAGGGTTGCCCCTGTCTTACACTTATGGTAGTCAACCCCCCACGCACACAACCACACGTCGAAAGCGAGGCTCGGGCTTCCTAAAGCAATTCCTTTCAAATCCTCAACTCAAATGAATGGATCGATGGAAGTCAATGGATGAGAATCAATAGAAGCCACGTGAGGCACTGTACTGTTGAGAGTCTGTCGGTCGCCAATCGAGACATGGGATGTCTGGTAAGAGCAGAGGCAGATCTACGTGGATGGCTCCACTCACTTGTTTTTGCAATAAATAAATCAAGCAAGAAATAAAACGAGAGCAGAAGAGAGGAGAGCAGATGCCGTTGAATTGCTCTGGTCCAATGGTGACAATGTTTGTAATGGAGCCCAGCAGAGTCCTGCCAAGTCTACAAGGCGCTCTGGTGGCAGCGCTCCTGGCGGGCACGAGATTCTTTTCATTGTTTCGGGGATTCTCTAAGACAGCGTGGTAAATTTCTGCCAGAATAACTTGCGCTTGTGTTTTCTTGGCTCACACTTCCACAAAACGACAATATGGAGATGACGCAGTTCCACTCCCTTCTCCTCTTTCTCTGGTTTGCAGCGCAGGATGCAAATTAGCCATCTATTCTTCTGCGCTGGCATGTGGGAGCACCTCAAGAGTTTTTAGATCGAAACTCGCAGTTTAGGAAGCCAGATCCAGTTATGATGGTTAATTCAAGTCAAAATCACAGTACAGAGATTAGACGTGCTTCTCTGGCACAAACCCCGAACTCTTGTTCTGCTGGATGGAGTACAAGAAAAAAAATGGAATATGCTGGGAAGACCAGTGACTCGGTGGGACCACCTTGGCAATTTGTAAAAAAATAAAATAAATAACGAAATATTGTCTGCCCTTACCAAAGATAATAAAGCGGCCTCATTACTTCCATCAAGTTGAGAGATGATTATTTTGATCAACTTTTCTTGAATGGTTTGTTTGAATAGTGCAAGTTGCGACAAAAAGGCAGGTTTTCCTGTTAAAAGTCAGAAGAGGTCCGCTTCCCTCTGCCGCAGAAATAGAGGAGCATGAGACAGACGAGCCCACTAAAACACAAAATGTGCCCACTTCATGTTTCCTTGCTAAAATGTTTTTTTTTTTCATTGTACTTAACTTCCAATTCGTCTGGGCGCGCTTTGCATATAATCTGGATCCGAATTGGGTTTTTTTTCTTTATTTAGTTCCTACAAATGTTAAAATGTAAACCAAATCCCTTCCTAGCATAAATGAACAGTACTACTTAAATTTGGCTGTCACTATTTTCCGTGTCTTTATTTGCTGGTCCTTTTAATCATAATTAAATGCAAGAGCAATTATGATAAGGTGATCACACAAAGAGATCATTTTCACCATCCTAAAGCCCGTCTGAGGGAAACCAACCACGTCTGACGCGGCGTGTGATGAAAATAAGTCTGAATGCTCTACTCGAGCCATGTCCACACTTTACAGCATCCAATCCATTAAGGCTCGCTACATTTCATATGGATGACCAATGAAACGCAGAAATTATGAGCCTCGTTTTTCTTTTTATTTGAGCAATCAATTGTACTAATTTTACCCCTTTGTTTTGAGCAACAATGAAATCAATCCTCTTGGCCCAATCAAATCTGGTCTGGTACGGTCCAGTTCTCTTGTTATCGTGTTATCTTGTGAACCATGAGGAGGCCTGAGCGATGAGCAAATACAATCTGCGTTTGTCACTCAAGTACTCAATTAGAATAATAAACGCTGTGAAATCAAATACCTATCCGGCATGATTAACTTTGGAAAGGCAGACCTTTTGATACAGCTCGTGGACTGCATTCAAATGAGAATGTCTGACATTAATATTTAAGTCATTCTTCTTGTCCAAAGTCTTCATACTCTGAAATTTGTGTTGGGTGAAGGCGACAAGAAAGTGGCAAGTGAGTATTCGCCAGTGTGCACTTCACCAGGCTAAGCTTTATTCTTTATTCTGGATGATGTATAAATGCAACAGAGCGGGGTCGAGGGTTTGGACCAGCAGTTGAACGCCGGCATCTCTGACACAAGCAAGCAAATTGGGAACTGCCAGCTTTGGCTGAGATTTTGAAAGCAGTGATTGGTAGGTTGACTCACAGCAAGCGGATCTTGGCTGAAAGCGGCTACGCTGTTCCGCATCTCATTCTCACTGCCGCGCAGCGGTATCAGTGACACGTTACCGTGACGCGTGTCGGGCAACGCGCGGCTCGCGCGGCTCGGCTGGAGTCCATCCTGAGGCCACACGTCGCCGTCATTCTTGAAGGAGGAGCAGAATGGTGAAGCACATGACAACACAGTGCAAAGTCGACGGTTTTGACACCAGCTCTGACCAACCCCCCCCCCCAGGTTTTATAGGCCCCCTGTCATTCTTCACGCCCTTTATGTTGACTCCACAAGATACAGTAGCCAACTGTGGTGGTGGTGCGCTTTCATTTTGGAGATATTTTTACTGTCTTGGTTTATTGGAACATGTCTATGTTGCACTGTTTCTCTTGTACAGGTGATGAGAAATTTCACAAAAATCAAGTCAAATCTTGTGCACATGCAGTTTTGTAGAACAAACTAAGCTTGAAAAAATAAGATTGTTAATTATGCATCTTATTTGGGCTCATAAATGTACGCCGATATGAGCTCCCATGGTCAAGAATGCATTGCAATGCGGGCACAAATGGGACCCTTGACATTAGGAATCCATTAGAATGGGTATTCAAATAGAATTTTTTGTACAGGTTAATCATATGGATTGGGACACTTCGCCATCGCACTGAGTTAGTGTGGTCGTGTGTGCGGGAGAGAGCGAAAGCTAACCTGAATACTCAGAAAAGTAGCGTACCACTCCCTCATTTCGGGCTGAGTCTCGCAGCAGAGATACCTGCAGAAATAAAAGCAAATCAAGTGAACCATTGCGTGTGCTTAAGCCTCATTGAAGAATTATTCATTTGAGAATGCAGTGTGTGTGTTTGCGGTATCTGTGTTTTATGCAACTCAGGTTGCCCTCACGCAGCCCTCTTGAGTCATCAGCTATGCTGCGGTGCTGAATGCACACTTTCTAATTAGTCATGATTTTTGCTTTGAGCGCATCTTTTGAATAAACATTTAGTCAGTTGCCCGGAACGAACGGAAACACGGATTTGATAAAAAAATTGAGAATAGGTAAAAAGAAAGGGGTCCAGTTTGGGAAAAAAACTGACCTCAAGCCTCTACTTCAACCCCATTAAATGCACTCACCTTCAGTATCTGCCTTCTATTAGTCATGATTTTTGCTTTGAGCGCATCTTTTGAATAAACATTTAGTCAGTTGCCCGGAACGAACGGAAACACGGATTTGATAAAAAATTGAGAACCAAATAGGAAAAAAGAAAGGGGTCCACTTTGGGAAAAAAACTGTCCTCAAGCCTCCACTTCAACCCCATTAAATAAATGCACTCACCTTCAGTATCTGCCTTCGACTAGATTTTTCTCAGTAGTAACAGAGCTCATTAAACATCAACTGCATATAAAATATATGCTTAAATGTGACTGAAAAACAACGGAAGGCAAAATATGAAGTGCTCTAGCTATAACACCAGTTACATTTTTTTTTAAAAATCATTATTTAGTACAATTGATCCAGTGTAGAGGCCAGGATTTTTTTTTGGGGGGGGGGGGGGGTCATAATGATGCTTAGATTTGATGCAATGGTTTTGTTTATACGTGGCATGTCCCATCAACTGCATATAAAATATATGCTTAAATGTGACCGAAAAACAACAGAAGGCAAAATATGAAGTCCTCTAGCCATAACAACAGATACATTTTTTTTAATCATTATTTAGTACAATTGATCCAGTGTAGGGATACGGGTCAGCTCGGGTTTCTTCAAGGAACCCAACATGCATGATTTTAGAATGGGTGACCACAGAGCCTAGAGAAACATTCCAACTCCAAAGATTTGATTTTCGAACCCAGAACCTCTGACTGTGAGGCAGACCACAGATGTGCTAGCCCACCAGTTTAATTCATCCCTGATGGGGATTTTGCATGGCGAATACTGTAAATCAAGACCCCTTTAATTTTTATTCTCGAACACGCACACACCACCACACCCTCCCCCCTGCTCCATTCCACCCTTGCTGGTATGTTTTTGCCATGGGAAACATGATAGAACTAAAAAAAAAAAAAAAAAAAAAAAAAAACAACAGCAGTATGAGAGCAGCAATGCCGTTACTAGAGAGTTGACGAATACTGATGTTGACAGGGTGTATCGAGCACACTGCAACAGGAACACGCTGATGCATTCATGGATGAACTCACAAGTTATCCTTGCATATTGAACAATGTAATGTACAGAATATGTGAAACATACCGCATGTAATGTAGCTAATGCAGGTGTGTATTGTGGTTCCTGGCAAACTGATAACTACTTTTTATGTACACACAGACAAACCATCCCCAGTGAGACTGCTTGTGTTTACACGGAACAAAGCAGAATTATTGTGCCTCAAGCAGGAAAATGCGCGTCGACCACAAGGAGAGACGAGGCAACACTTGCAGTGATGTAGTATTCTCCAATGAGAATGAAAAAATCATTACAAAGGTTGGTTTAAATGTATTGTTTTAAGAGTTGCTGTACTAACCGAAGCATCCGGACAGATATGGAGTTTAAATAAAATGTATAATGTTGAATGACATTGCTTCTGTATGTTGTCTACTACGACTCACCACTGCTGCCTCTCAGCCTTCTCTTGTTTCTTACTCTCGTGGACCACGGTCAGGCCCCAACTGCAATCAGGAAAAGACAGATTTTTTTTACCCCCAACAAACTGTCATTGTGTAGTCATTTTTTGGATTAGCCTGCCCTCTGCAGGCCATTTGGCACCCTGCTACCTGGGTCGCAATAGCTGAATTAATCATCAAACATTATTTCATTGAATTCTGATTTTAATTCATGAGAGGTCAAGCAAAAAAGTAAAACTTTTTTTTGCATTCCGTTATGAACTGAATGTCATAATTTCAAAGTCAACTGAAATCCATTACCGGTCAGTGGCTTCACTGATATATTCCAGAGCTAAGTGTCCAGAATGTATTAGCATAATTTTGCTTAAAGCATACTTAATGACATTCTCAGGTTGGATGATGAATGCCACACAATTTTCCCCAAGGGTCTGATGCAGCGTGTTTACATAGTTTAGATTTGATGCTGACAGCGTAAAGAATTAGCACAATTAATGTATGACGTAAAGAATTAGCACAATTAATGTATGTTTTCGTGGTTCACAATGGTAAACTGACAGGCACTTCCCAACACCGTCCTCATTAAAATTCACACACTGATGACAAAGCAACTGGGGGTTCAGTAGATTTAGCATGTGAATATGAACTATATGGAATAGGAACCCATATATGATCTGAATAGGGGATCGTTTGGGGGTAGAATAATGACCTCAAAAGTATTTATATGAGTACAAAAGTGTTGGGACAACTTGGCCATCTGGGGAAGTGAAAATGTGAGAAGAAGTCATCTTCCCCTTTTCAGGTGTAATATATTCAAACCTTGTGTTGAGGTGTCTAAAATTCTTGCCTCGGTAGCATTTAATTAATTGTTGAGATTTGATTGTTAAATTGAATGAAGACTCAGTTCAGTAGGAGGTAATACAATACATACAATACATCCTGATTTATGTAGAGGCTACATTTACACCGCGTTCCCACTTCCCGGAGTGTTTGGCGGCTTTGTTTGCCTGGAGCTGTGCGTTATCTGTAGGATTACAAATCATGATTTAAAAAAAAAAGTGTTGCCTTCTTGCCACACCTAGAAAAATCCATTAAACTGTAGAGTCTACAGCAGGAGTGTACAATACGTCAACTGCAATCGACTGGTAGCCCGCGGACTGGTCCCAAGTCGATCGCGAGAGATGGAGAGGGAAATGGGGTGGGGGAACCAAGATCCTATCAGTTTCATTTTCACAAAAACAGTATTTTAAAAATATAATAAAATGAAAAAGCAGGTCACCTTTCACCTATGGTGGCCCATGATTTGCATCACCGGAAGTGATGTCAGCAATTGCAGCTTGTGATCAGAGCTATTGTGATATATCTTTTTTTTATTATTCTCCTCATTCAAACAATTCACTGATTGCACACCAGTATTATGAAAATCCAATTGCATGCATTACTACACGTGTGGCTACACTCTCACCATGTTGGAGGACGGAGTTTCTTCTTGATACCCAAATAGACCCTCAGGTTCCTGACTGGCCAATCACGTTCCGGACGGTTACTCTGGGAGACGATGAAGAAGAGGCGCGGCGGGTGTGAACAAGGAGTGTGTGGGAGGATGTGTTTGCATGTGCGCCCGTGCCAGACTCACTCTGACTTCTTTGTACATCCGCAGTGAACTGGAGTTGAGAATGAAATATCGGTCATGGAAACTGCCCGAGGACAGCCCCAACCCAAGGATGCTCCTCTCTTCTCGGAATTTCATCATGCCATGTTTGGATGGGTCAACTTTACTGGCTGGAGGGCATAGTAAAGGGTTTATTCATTTTTTTATTCAATTATTATGCAAAATCCTTCAAAGGGAAATTCAATTAACTTTCTGCTGTACATATTTTGTGTTGCACACTTTAGCCAAATCACGCACATTGGATGGGAGAGATGGCAAAGCGAAATGGCTGCGCAAACAGTGCTACACTTCTTGAGCTGCGGAGGGAGTGCTGCCTTGTTCAAGTTAGCCAGAAAGCAGACAAACATATCTCCAACCAAACGTTGCCATTTTTACATTTCCGCAGCCGGAATTAAAACGTGACACTCCTGTTCCAAAGCTGCACGTCCTTACAGATGAGCTGCTGCCAAATGTGGGACTGTTCTAAAAAAAATGGTACTGTAATGAACTCGTTTACCCAAATAGATGATCATTGCTTCCATAGCAATGTGCTTCTTGATGAGAAGATGGGAGTCGGTGCCAAAGGAGTGAAGGATGGGTAAGACTCTCTCCCGATAGTGCAGAGGGCGTTCTGCGAAAAGATCAGATAGACAGGGAATGCAATTGCAGAGCTGGCAACCGATCGCGTTCAGAACAATTTGTCTGCAATAGTGCAAAGAATAAATCAATAAAATATCAAAATATTTACTTTGCAGTGACATTCCAATGATGCATATTGCACACGTACGCACATCCGCGTAGCTTCCTCAGCGACACTTAGGTCACCGACCAACTGGTGTGTTGTTCATTGTCAACCTTTTTTGAGCAGCGTGACCCATGATTAATGTTTTGTTTTGCTTTTTTAATTAATATCTTTTCAAAGTTTTCCGGAACGAAATAGAGAGAGAACAGTTGGCGGCTCCGCTATTGAGATGACGACAAATTTAAGTACCTGCGAGTGGAAGTTAAATGACAGAATTGGCCTAAATTGAACTGCAAGAGGCACGGTAATTGAAATTGATCATCTATAGCAGTTTCCCCACCTACACACCAAAGTCAAAATAACTTTCTCAGTGTTCTAGTGCCCAAGTGTAGAGTGTGGTAACAACTAAAATGAACTCTCCCGCTCACCACTATGTCCCATTTTCCTTTCATGACACACAAGATAATTTAGCCAGTTATTTGTGTGTTACTGCAAAATCAACCAACAGGCTGTGTGGTGGTCAACCAGATGGCCACCAGAGAGGCTCTCAAACAAACCGAAACACTGTATTGCTGTGATATCAGTCTCACCCGTTTCTTCCTTGTCAATCACCTCCCAGCAGTTCCAGTACTCTTTGTCTTTCACGGAGATGTTGCGCCTGTCCAATATTTCACAGGTCAATTCTGCTGCCGTCATAGATGCAGGGATCTGTGGAAAGACAACCCACGTTTAAATTTGATCTGTGTCAACATCAACCCTCACTTCGTTTTCCTTTGGTCAAGGCTACCTTCACATGCTGCTCAGTGGTGTCCTTCTTTTCCTCTAAGTAAACTGTGCAGATGAAATGCCCACCGGGTTCAGTGCTCTGAGGGTTTCAGTAGAAATATCAGTCATTAACAACAACAAAAAAGAGCGCACTCGTGTAAAACTATTGTGCACCTGTCTGTGCTCTTAACTAAATGTACTGTACACAACACGTCACGTACGCAAGACACATGCACACACATTGAGGTCCAGTGCAGCAGAGACCACGGAAGACACAACACCACAAATTTGACATGTTTGCCACTCACAGGAAATTTTGTGTTCAATTTCTCGCGCACTTGTATGATAACCGTGATCTCTTCCAGTTGTTTTTTCAGCTGAAGCTCATCCACCTATAAAAAAAAAAAAGTATATTGATTAGCACCACATGACTCCATCTTGTGATTGGCTCCAAGTAAGCTCTGAGATCATTCATAAGCTTCAAAATTGCATTTGCTGCTACGATAACTTTTTTATAAATGTCCACATGAGCAGGGAAAGCTCACCCCATCATCTCAAATGTTGCCTGTGCTACTCTGGCACCACCATTCGTGACGGGTTCACTCTTGCCTTTCAATATGTCTTCGGTATGCTAGAGCACATTTGCATGTGCTTAAATTGATATACAGTATTTGCATACAGTGCTGTGAAATAGTATTTGCACCTTTCCTGATTTCTGTTTTCGTAACATATTTATCATATATGAAGGTTTCAGTTCATCAAACCAATTTTCACAGACTACCCAAGGAAATACAAAATGCAATTTCTAAATGCCAAATGAATTTATTGAGGCACAAAAAAATATCCCAAACTATATGTCTCTATGTGAAAAAGCAATTGCCCCCCCCTTGTGAAATCACAATGTAACTGACTAATCACAGTTTTGGGAAAGCGGAATTAAATTTCACAGGCAACCCCCTAGCACCACATTTGTTGAATCCAGAAATCACATAAACTCTTCAGGTTTTGATTGGTTATATTGGTCATCTGGCAAGTGCAAATTCATTGATGTGGATGGAAATTTCGATTAAAAATATCATATAATTGTTGGGAAGAATTTTCCACATTTAAACCTTCAGCCAAACCAGGAAAAAAAATTGATAAAAACTTGATTGCACATGTAATGCATTTTGATCTGACCGACAAACATCATCGGTGCTTCATTTGATTGCAGCTGACCTTGAATATAAGCGTGTAGTACTGTATGAGGTCCTCGATGGCACGGCCTGCCGTGTAGTCCTTTCCGTCTGTCTGGAACAATGTAGGGCCAAACACGATGGCCAGGTTGTGGAGATTCATTTGGTTCAGCTCAGAGAACCGCTGCACACTGAACGACAAAACGTAGGCAGAATGTGGGTGTGGCAGTGGGTGTGTTTTGGGCATTCACAATGTGTGCAAGTGTATCACTCACCAGTACAGGTGATTGATAAGGGCCCGTAGTGTTGCCCTGTTAACACGAGGCAGTTTGTTCAAAAGTATCTGATACTGGGGGATTTTCATACTTTCATCCTGAATGGCTGGATCAAAACAGAAGCGAGAGTGAAGACAGAAATGGGATGAAGGTGATCTAATGAGACATACTTTCAAAATTTCCGGATGCAGTACAAGTCCATGTGAACTTTACCAGCCGTAGTAAGCCAGGTGCCGCCATCTTCAGATGTGAAAAGCCCTTCTTCTAACTCCCTGAAGAAGCGTTTGAGGGTGTTTGAGACGTCGTCAACCTGGTGCTCCCCTTCCCTCAGGCGGAGGCTTCGAGCATCTTGGCGAAACCTCTCGCACAGAGCGGCAACACGCGAGTTCACGCCACTCTTGCGATATATCCCCTCTGATGTTAGACCTAAAGAAATACAGTCATGGCATGCAAACAAAATACAAAGCATTACTCCAAGCACTCAGTGGCCACTTTATTAGATACACCTGCTCAATGCGAGAAGAGGTGGACCTTTACAAAGATAATATGCTGTTGTCTTGAAGTTCACGCTCGTGTTTGCACTTTTTCACACTTAGCTGCTCTAATGTCTTACAGCTCTCATGCAACCACTAAAGGTAACCAAAATCTTTGAAACATCTTTCCAGATAATTTCGTACAGCTCCACACCATTACAAACCACAACAATATGACTCGGGCAGCGTCAACAAAAATTGAGCATTATGCTATCACAATTAACCTTCATCAGGAGTAAGACTTCAAAATTATGTCAATAAAGTTATGGCACCTGACGGGAAGATGTGAGGACTCGCAAAAATTTTTTTGGAATAAATTGCATATTACAGTATTACAGGGAACTTAAATGTATTTGGGGAAAAAACATGCAGCAAATAACCATATTTAATGCAATTTATGCACGGCATATCCTTCAAACCCGAGCACACGGACCACTTGCCCTTATTAGGGAGACGTATAACTGAAGCCTGTCCCAGCTGAGTTTGGGGAAAGCGCATGGTTCACCCCTGGTTAATCATTTGCAATTATATCAATCAAAAGGGTAAGCGTAGATGAAGGCGTGTCTGATGATCATTTACTACTTACATGCATCTTTTGCTTTATGCTACCGCTCGTTTGTCTTTTTCCTTCAGTTCACTCACCGCACTGTGTGATGTAGTCAATGCAGCTGTGGACTACGACTGGTATGTCTGTCTCGGTCAGCTGCTGCTGACTCAGAGTGTCGCCTCCACTCCCTGCTGCAGACTGGATGGCAGCACACCAGCCAGCAAAATCCAACTTCCTCTCTCCTTCTATGTACAGCGTTCTTAGTAGGCAAAGACCAAACCAGAGTGAAGCCAAAAACAAGTTAAGAAGAGAATAAAAAGGAGGACAGAAAATGCAAAGGTACTACATCATAGTTCTACATAAGAAATATGTATGTAAAAACTTGTCTAATTTGTCGTGAAGGCGCTCACCTTCCTCTCTCCACCAAAACTAGTACTTCATTATCTTGTTGGATCGCTGCAAAAAAAAAAAAAGTTCATGTCTTCATTTCACAGGCACAAAAACTATGTTTTTTTTTTTTTTTTAATGAATCATTTAATGCTGTGTACGGAGTCAACAAGCAGATGGTTGGAAACTTTTGGATGAACTCACAGAGCTCATTAAGTTTGCGAAGGTGTATCTCTTCTTCCTGGCTGTCCTCCAGGTAAGCATGAAGAGTGGAGTCCACCAAGGCAAACCAGCCCACCTTGGACGTTTGCAGGTTCAGGCCATCCTTATATTTTAGTCGCCCGAGCCGCTCAAAACCTAACCTCAATAAAGGCTCTGCTTTGGCTGGGATAAAGCTCTACAAAAATCAAAGAACGTTAGTGTCACTTTGTGCCAAGATATACTGTAAAATAACTCTTAAGATTTGCTCAATAATCAAAACGGACTAAAACTGAAAAACAAGCTATTGTGTTTTTTTTTAATCATCTTGTTATTCTTACATTCGGTTTTAATGGTAGTAAGCAGCACTGCACTCAACTTTTCATGATTCAGGATTAAGAATCATGTGTCAATGCACCAAATATTCCCATCAACCAGTTTATAGTGCCATATTAAAATGGTTGCAGTCCATTTTGTCATAGCTGGTAGGATGTTGTCTACATGCAGCAAATGTGTCACACATTGTGTCTTGCAATATCAGAGCACTTCCTGAGCATCTTCCAGGGTAAATAAAAAAAATAAAATGTTGCCATTTTGTTGCTCAGGAACAGCAACATGGACTTCGTACACATTTTTTGAGAGAATTCCAATTTGCAGTTAAGAACATTGCTCTCAAGAGAAATAAGTGCAGCAGCAGCATTTTCTTCCTTGACATGGCTCATTGGACATGACGGGTCAGTCAACTTGTTACCTTGGCAATGGACTTCACCCATTCTTTGTGGCTGCTTGGGTCGTCGGTGCCAAACAGATAGAGACGATCTGATTCAGAGTAGAGTTCGAAGGTGTGCTCATACCTGCAAATTGGGACGGATGGAAAAGACGACTGTTGAGGCGTGTGTGTCATTTCTCGTGTAATATCTCAACGTGTCACCAAATACATGCAAACAGCAGCAGATGTGTGAGTGTGAGTTTGTATACCCGTGTTTCTCGGGTACATCCACAGCCAAGCAAACTATTTCGGAGGATCTCAGAGCTCCATTCGGATGAGAGTTCTTGTCACTCTCGTAGTAACTGAATGTGCCGTCATTGAGTGTACACCAGCGACGACTGAACTCTGCGCACAATAATAAAGATGTGTAAAGGCTCAAACTGCACATCCGTATCACCAGACACTTCTATTTGGTAATCAAAATCATATCATCCACTCCACAATATTAACGCACGGAGTAATACAGTTACACCCTTGCAATCTCCAAGTGCAGTGTAAAGTCAAAGTCCATCCATGACCATCTCAGTTGAAACTGATCACTATGATGTTTGCAAAGGAAAGTATTTTATTTCATCCGAGTACTTCATGGTGAGTAAACAATCCATGCCGAGATGACAAGGATCAATGCTTTAGAACCATTGTGGGCGGAACTCTACACGGTTACCCATCGTGCTTACATACCCTCTCTGGCCTTGCGTTCTGTGATAGCCCGAGCCATAGATCCTGTTTTGAAAAGGAAGCCATTGTGATAGACACAAGTTGGAGCTGAAAAGGGCACCTCTTCCATGCCACCGTCCACCTCTGACCGAGGAAGATCTGTAAAACAAAAACCAAAGCCATGAGGCAAAAAAAATAAATAAATAAAAAATACATGGCAGGTTATCTGCTTGGATTTAATCAAATGTAAATGTTCAAGATAACTACACAGAAACAATCACATCGTCAAAGTTTGTTGCAGTATAAATGGGTTTTCTATTCAGCGATCATCTGAGGAGTTGTAAGTGCCTAGAATATCTAAGTTATTTGATGTATTTTAAGCAGAGAATTGTGTTTTCGAATGTTGGAGGATGTGTTGCACTTTTGTAAAACAATCCACAGTGAGAATATAGCCAATATAACGGTCCATCAGTCCATTGAACATAAAGGCACTTCAGTGACATCACAAACATGCGGTCATGCTCTACCTGTGTTCAGATTGTGGCTCAGTAATACGGCTTGCAAAGGTTGAGAGTGTGTGTTGGCTAGGGAGAGAGGGGTGGGACAATCGGCCATGCCAGTTGAACAATTTACATCAGCGCCACAGAAAATCAGCCTTAATGTTTCCAGCACATCACTGCACTGCACATTTATGCACAACGCCTGTGGAAAAAGGACACAACGAGCAAGTATTAGAAAAACACAATCACAACATTAAAAACCTAGACTTTTATTTCATGTTTCTTTTTCAGTAAATGTGAATTGAAGAAGAACTTCGTGTACAAGACGTGACAAGGACCACATGTACCCAAGAAACAGTGCGGACAATCAAATAAGTACATTATAGTACTAATTGTTCATATATATCACAAACTACATGGCCAAAGTATTGTGGCATGTCAATACAAATTTGTGCGAATGGTTGGGCGAATCCCCTTTTTTTATTCAAGCATTCCTGTCCTCCAGGGCACAAAGCAAGGTCCAGAAATTAGTTTTTGGGAAGACTTTGGTGAGACAAAACATTTTTTACTGGTACACCGAGTTCTGACCTCAATTGCAACTCTAAAATAAAGATTGTGAGCTCCCAATTATTCCTACCGTAATATGTGTTCGAGAATTTTACACTTGGTCAGCTCCCTATTTCTGTCTAGTTTTCAGCTGACACTACGCACACCATGCATTCACCTCATTATTATTATTAGGAACACAACTCCAAAGAGGTGGTTACATACGTTGCTGTTAGCACAGTGATAAAAGCAGGAAGACAAACGCACATTTTTTTTTCACCAGTGCATTTTAACCATGTAATGTGTTTGAACCATACGCTGATGATGCCAAAATAGTATTGCTATAGTATAGTATAGAATAGACCAGGGGTGTCAAACACACGGCCCGCGGGCCGGAACAGGCCCCCAAGGAGGTTTGATCAGGGCCGCAGGATAATTTAAAAGTGAAAAAATGCACGAAAGACACGGAATGAGTATTTTTCATAAAATGCATTTTGTGTATATTCCACTAGGGGGCACACTGTTTCGATCAGCGTAGAAGACAACATTGTTTTGATCAGAGAAGAAAAGAGCCGTCTCAGTCTGTCACTGAGACAGACCCAACACATCAGACAGTATCAATGCGCCAATGTTTCTTTATACCAAAACAAAGGAAAGACATGATAGTTTGGTAATTTATAGTAGAGTATCGTATAATGTTAACGGTCCGGCCCACTTGACATCTACTGAGTCCGTATGTGGCCCACAATGTGAAATGAGTTTGACACCCCTGGTATAGACTGTAGCTGACTTCATTTCCATTCTTTGGAGATAAAAGCTGAAAATCAAGTGCACAAACTAAAAACACAACCTTACAATGGTGACGGTGAAAAAGCTTAAAAAAAAACAAAAACAAAAAACACGATTATCTGCTGCCTGAAAAACAGATTCACACCAACACAAAGCCTCACAAGAAACCCCAATGCTTTGAAACCAAACCATTAACTGTAACGAGCAGTGTATCACTTTTACTGGACATCATTTGTCTTGTCGTGACGCACGAGGGAGAGTTATTCACCCTGACCCTGTGCCTTTAAGGGAAGGGATTTCGTTCAAAGCGATGATGGAATGGAAAGGGGATGATAGACTTGAAAGACGTGTAGGAGTTGAGCTTGATGCTTGCTCTGCAAACAATCAGTTTTGTGTAAAGAGTAAGGGGCAGCCCTACTGGACCGTCGTACGCACATCTGGAATAGCATTAGTGGTAATCGTAAGAGTTATGGCAGGGAATAAAGTATGTATATAATGCATGTACTATTATATGAGAGATTTTTGCGGTGCCATATTAGAAAGTTGGTTACGCCCATGCTGATCACTGGATTGGTATAACAATTGCCCCGTGAAGCCATGTGGCTGAAAAACTTGAAAAATTGTAGCAGCAAGATTATCGCAACACATATTTGGAGAAACAACTGAAAGATACATTTGGGCATGGCGATAACGGTTTTCTATTTTATCCACGTGACATCCGAATCACGCCCACAAGCACAATACTCATTAGTTGCCAGACGTTGAGCCGCACAACACAGATGGACATCCTTGTCTAAACACACGCACACTACAGTACATTACCATACCAGCTGCTGAATGACGAAAACCAAGCCTCATAATTCTGTTTATGTGACTCAGTTAAATCCAACTAAATCAGCCCCTGGACATCAATGTGACTGCTTGCATGCTGAATGTAGGTTAGTGTTACATATCAATAACTTGTGAGAGGAGGGATCCAATTAGAGGAAAGCACAATGAGGAAATGGATTGTTTGGCTGTGTAGATTCAGACGCCCTTTAAAAATGAATGGAAGAACACACACGCACACAGACACACACATACAAGCAGGAAAGATGGGGCGGGAAGTCGAGATTCTTCGTCAACATCCCTAGGGAGGAGAGAATGAGAGGAACGCAGCGATTTTATCTGGGTGTGTCTACAATCGCACAGCTCCATCTGGCCGCTTGGAAAGGAGACGGGGAAAAGTCCGAGATGGGAGAACATGAGAAAAGAAAAAAAAATACAGTAAAAAGAAAATGAAAGCCGGAGATTCGCGCTCATTCATCATTAACTACTTGTACTTTCTGAACGCCATGCACACGGACCCGCAATGCGCACACCCACGCTTCTATATGCGTCCATAAATTAATTCCAGATGAGGAAAACTATTTTTTCCACATAATTTTATGCCATTACTTCACCTGGGATGGTTTTACACAGTGAGACAGAATGAGAAGGAGAGCTGACAGGCAAAAGGAGATGAATCCGAAAATTGAGGGGGTGTGGGGGGGAAAGACAAAATACCAAAGAAGAGGAACAAGGGTTTTGATGGGATGTGTGTGTTCAACTCCCATCCTGTAGGGGGCAATAATGCCCATTGGAAATTTGGCACCAAAAGTTAAATACAGCAAGTTTCTCCATGCTGCAGACTCACATGCATGGGATAAGACTAATTGGTGTTTTCGGAGACTAATACTTGGCGCTCATTTCTTTGCTACATTAAAAATGACAAACAATGTATACAACTATGAACACCTACCTCAGAATGATGGAATTTTACACTACAGCAAAAGGCAACTGCAGTTTGAACACAGAGATAAACTAGGGCACCTTGTTCTGCAATTTTACAAAATTCTTAAATTTGATCTCAAATTCACAATCACACATTGTGAATCTAATGTTGTACCATACAAGAGTATGCAAACCATAAATGTGGGCCGTCGCCTCAATTGGGAATATCAAACAGAAAAGACTTCAACAGTCTTTACAAAGTTTGAAACAAATGCAACAAAAGACGCACTGTAACATGAGATTATTCTCTCTCAGTTGAACTAGCTGAGTGCGCACACACCGCGCACGCACACACACACACACACACGCACGCACGCACACACACACTCTTATGTTAGAACGTGCCATTCTTTTCAAAAACATTCATGACAGTGCACATTGAACCAATCATTTTGGACTGATGAATGCATGGTGACAGAAAGTTGACTAACTGGGGGAGAGGACAGAAAGCTAAGGAAAGGGTTGTGAAGCAGGCTAAAAGTGAATGAAAGAGAGGCACAATCACCTCCATTGACAGCAGGGCCAATCATCCGCACAAGTGCACACACAAAATACAAAATATGCACGAGCACATTAGCATGCATGTTGACCGATCTCAGCCCACGCCAATAAGCAATGTATGCACAAAGGCTGCAATGTGAAAGCACTTCAAATGATCCAAGTAGTCTCCAATCAAACGCAGCAAGATCAAATACTGCCAGAGATCCAAAGTCCATTGACACAGATTCCTGTAGCAAACGCATGCTTCCAGCACTCAATAAAACACGCAGTCAAGTCTTTAAAAGGCCCAACATAAACACACAGTACTTTCCTTACTCGACACACATCAGTAATAAACATAATCTTACCTGTTGGCTTCCACACAGTGCGTCCAATTTAAGGTGCCACTTGACAAAGACCGCGATGCCAGAAAAAGGAGGTAAAGTACTTTTTCATCACTTTGCAACACAAGTTTGAGACTAACTTGAAGGAACAGTAGACATTTACGAGCAGTCAAATGAACCAGGAGGAAAGAGAAACTTTCTTTCGCAGTCGCAGCCCAGCAATGAAGAGCGCACAAGGAGGAGGAGGAGGAGAGAGGGGGAGGCGGGGTTACAGCACATTCCAGCAAGAGCAGTGAGTAGTGATGTCACATTCGAGAAAAGGAGAAAAACAAGGAGAAAGGAAGCTGAGATGTGGGACTAAAATGGCACAGCCAGATGAAATGGGCTGTGGGCTTTACTTTTAAGTTTTCTAAGGAGCTGCAGATGTTTTGCTTGACCCCTCACACACTGCCTTAGAGCACCCTATGGTCACAGAGACTATCCCTCACAGAGAGGGCTCTGGATCCTATTAAACCCAGCATTCTAACAAAAACAGAATTCGAGCTCTCGAATGACAGCGAGCAAGACAAAGACAAATAGTGTGAAAGGAAAAAACAGGAAAAAAGTGAGCATGATTAAGCAAGAGGACTAAACAAACAATGGGGGGGGGGAGTTTTTTAAAATGACAATTTTGTTGCACTTTTAATCTTTTGGATATCGCAAACATGTGACACATGCACATGCATGCACACACACATTTATACCAGGGGAAAAAAGTACTCAGAGTCAGGTGGTAGATGTGAGTCACTCACAAACTCAATAAGAGCAATCGACATTGCTTGCGGTTAAGTGGGTTAAGCCAATGAATGACCCAGCTGCGTCGCAAATACTGACGCATTTGTCACACTAATGGAAGCACAACAATAACAAAAATCCGTGCAAAACCTTCAAGGGCTTTTTTTTTTTTTTTTTAATGTGGCCCAAATTCACCGGTCTGATGAAAAGAATGTGCGCTTGTGTCCATGCAACCAATTACCACTTTACATCACCTCAGAAGCAAAAATCTTTTGAGTTTGACTTTGAGCCTAAATACATAGACCTTATTAAAACTTTTGCAATTGACAAGTGTTGTCTACATTTTGGACTTAATATCGTTGCTTTTTTTTTTGTCAAGTCATCTGCATTTCCGTCCTGCAGGGAATTTAACAGAGGCCACTTAAAAGGAGGTTTGAAGGATTGTCAAAAGAAAAAAATGTTCTGGTTAAAACTGTCAGTGTATCGGTGCATTGAAAAGAGCAAAATCTATCTTGTGTGTACAGTATTCTTGGGATGTTCAGCCGTAATCTGTCACTTGTACTGTACATTGCCACATTGAAACAATTCAGCCACAATTGTCAGCCTCGAGGACAAACATGGTACAGGCGATATTAAATTGCGTCTGTCGACTAGCTGTCTGAATCCCCAATATTGCTTCACGATGTTCGGTGCAAATATGCTCAAACAATGCACAGGTTCATCTTTAAAAAAACTAAAGTTAATGAATTAAAGAGGAAAGTGGAACTTACGTTATTCAGCTCTTTCTGGTTTCCGTATAGAGGGTGGTACTTCCTATATTTGCCACGGCGATACTTGTTAGTGATGAAACGCCGCCGGTCATCACTGCAGCTCGAGGGCGACAGAGCCTCGCTGGGTGGGACGTTTGCTGCCCAGAAACTGTTCACACGGTTGTTGCCAAGCAAGAGGAACACCTGCACAGTTACAGACAGATACAATACTTTGGAATTGTGGGAATCAACAGTGGTTAAGATTAGGCATGGTCCGATCCGATCCACTACGATCGATATAGTATTGTTTTTAGTAGAACCAGTCTGATCCAATCCATAAATCCAAACTAGATCACACATACTCAATTCTATGTTGCGCAACATGCTATAGCACAGGTTAGCTGTCGCTATGTGCCTGTATTTGATCAACATTTTTCAACCACGTACCCAAAGCAAATCCACAAACTGAAATAAAAGGAATACAGTTCACATCAACTGAAACTGCCTCCGATTATGCGGGTGTGTACCTGTATAAGATCCTCGGTCCAAACCTTCCTGTCCATTTTCAAACTCCGGACCTTCGAGATGTTAGGGCCCAGTCCTCTGTGCTCTCCTGAAACACATGTGCACATCAAACACACGCGTACCGACTTTGAAGGAACCCCACATGTGCTTTGTAACAGACTGGTATGAAATACTAAGGTTGGCTACAACTTTTAGATCAAGAGGAAAGTGTTTTTTTTTCAAACTTCTTCACATGTGTCTTGTGTTTTCTTTTCACATCAAAAAGCCATACATTCCTGGCATAGTGTAAACACATTTGCAAACATACTCGAACCATCTATATACCAAACTTCTCTGTAATACCATAAAGATGTTCTTCTCCAATCACAAACCTGCACATCGCTTACAGATCACGACGCACAAGTTGATGGCCGCCCATTCCGGCTTAGGAGCGCTGCAATCGGCACAGGAACTGTTGCATGGCTCCGCCCATATTCGATCAGCAACCTCGCTATTGGACAAGGCCTCACCTATGGCATCCCTCATTGCATCCACCCAATGATCTCTCAATTGCTCTGACTCTGCTATGAAACTGCGGACAGAGATAAACAAACTTTGAAGCGTTACTGCGGCCATTACAGCATCAAGAGGCAACTATCACGTAATACGACTAAAGAAGGCAAGTGTAGCCTTTGCTATGTGAATCCGCTCTCCTCCTCCCAGAATTGACTCTCATTCTGTTTGTCTCGCTTATTATATTTGAGTTGAAACTGCCATCTATATACACTTCCAGACAGACAGAAATAGAATCAGTACTTCCTTCTTTTCAGTGCAACGCTCTGATGTTTTTTCTCGGTGCTTAAAATACTTGTAGGCACAAATGACTCCAATAAATGAACAATCGCAAGTCTGAACATTTCCTGTTGGGAGATTATTATCAAACGTCAAAACAACACCTCTTTGAGGGACCGTGTTTTGGACAAACTATCATCAAACTGAAATTTTTAAATCTTTAAGATTCAACAGCCAACCAAAAATATACTCTGCATATGACCAGGCACAGTTTCCATATCCTGTCAAACTAAGTCTTTGCACAGCAGGCAGCGTAGTGTCATCTTGAAGATGTCCCACCCACGCGAACACAGGCACATACGCACACACAGGATCTCCTCCCTCACAAATAATCCACACAAACGGCTCGTTGAGGGAACATGGTGTGAATTCTCATGACCTAATCCTTGCACTAACAAATGTGATCAACTACATCCAAAATAATCCACTAAATAAGAATCAATCAAAGTACAAACACGAGTCGAGTTTGAACAGACTATGAGTGCATATACAGTACCTGAAAATGCGGTAAGGGGTAGTGAGATCAAAACTGCGGCGATCTGTGACTTTAACATTTCCTACATTCATCTCGATTGATGTGATGCCGACTCCAATACGGTAGTCCTAAAAGAGAGAAGAAATACTGGTAGTTGCAAATCAATTATCAGTATTAGGGCACTTTTTAAAACATACATGCATACTATTTACATTAAAAAAAAAAATGCAGTTAAGGTGCACTAAGTATTTTATATGTTAAAACAGCTAATTATTTGACCCCCCTCCCTTATAAAAAGAAGATCACAAACACGCACCTCCATATTTTTATAGAGAAAGACCTTATCTGAAGCCACAACTGTATAAAGTTTGGAGCGTAGACCTTTGAGCTCCAAATAGCCTTTAAACTCTGACGTCAAAGGCGCGCCAGGGTTCAATGCACTGCGTCGGTGGCGCCCCCTTGTGCAGTCCTGCAGCAGAGTCACCCATTCATTTCTCTCAACTGGTTGCACAAGCAGTGGGGGGGAGACAAAGGCATGCAGACAAACACTTAAGTTAGAATGCATCATGCACTATTTTGCAAAATCACACAGATCAATAACCAGACTAACCGTCACTTTCAGCTTTGAAGATAAAAGTGCGATTGTGTGTGATGACCTCAAACTTCAGCTCTCCCAGACTTGTCACATTCGTTATCGATGCGGTCGAGATGATTCCCTTTGAGTACACTTGCTAGAACAGATATCAGCCACAACAACTTAACTAAGATGAAACATCTCAAAACAAGGAGAATGAAGATATGATGGAGAAACCACTGGCTTGCACTGTTACCTTGTCGTTGTCAAAATATCTCAGGAAGTCAACGTCCAGCTTTACCCATCGTCTCTGATAATAAAGGGCCCTGTAGCGTGCACACAGACACAAACACTGAAAGTGGAGTCATGTGGTAGCACAAAAAAAGAAGGGGCATGTACACCATGTGGAGAAAATATTAAAGACACGTCACACGTTCTGTCATTGGGCAATCGGAATCACCACCAAGACATTTTGGATAATTCTCGGCTCCAACCAAGGTTCACAAAGTAATGACTGGATGAGGGGTGTGAAAGTATCTGAGGGCTCTGACTTCCACCCTAGCAATCACCTTTGAACGACAACAGAGATGGTCTTCTCTCAGGTTCATGTTCAGTGACCTCTGACCTCTTCGAGATAATGAAGAAAAGTGCTCAACGATTTTCGGAAACGACTGAATTGCGATTTTGCTGACAGATATTGCGATTTCGATTGAATTCACAATTTTCTGCAAATCAAGCTTCGGTGCAATATTCACTATGTACAGTAACATTTGAAACATGACTGAAAATTACATAATACCATCAAAAGCTTAAAAGCTTTTACTTTTATAGTTCGCAGCCATTGTGAGCCTGCGTGAGGGAGCCAGTCATTTTTAAATAGGTTCAATTCGTAAGGCCTCCCTTTGCCATCATGCATATGTAAATTTGCAATAATGTGCAACAGTGTACGTAAAAATCATATTCATTCATTTACATTTTTAATAATGTTTTAAGCGTAAGATTAAATGTGAAATACTTTTTTTCTTAATTTCATCAGACTTGACTGCTTCCAATGGAAATGGCATATATATATACACTCGCTTGAGGTATTTGGCCGTAGCCGCTTTCCTTGTTGTCAGTTCGAGGTTGCCATTGGCTTGTGGTATACCGAGGTACTTGCAGCTGTCCTCAATGTCTGCTATTGTTCCTTCAGGGAGTGAGACCCCTTCAGTGCGGACTACCTTTCCTCTCTTAGTTACCATCCGACTACATTTCTCAAGCCCGAATGACATCCCGATGTCGCTGCTGTAGATCAAGGTTGTGTGGATCAGGGAGTCTATGTCCCTTTCGCTCTTAGCATACAGCTTTATGTCATCCATGGAGAGGAGGTGACTGATCGTAGCTCCATTTCTGAGGCGGTATCCATAGCCTGTCTTGGGGATTACTTGGCTTAGGGGGTATATATATATATATATATATATATATATATATATATATATAGCGATATGGCATGAAAGTGTGAAAATCAAAAACGATGATTTTGAATAGGTGACTTAAATGTAAAAGTAATTATTTCCTGTTTAAAAGCGTCAGAAGGTATCACACAGTATTTATTCGCGAGATCAAGATTGCGATCCCAAAACGGTGAATCGGTCGGCGTTAACAGAAACAGTCCAAAATTTAGAAAAAGCAAAATTGAAGACCAACTCCACATTTTCACAGGGCACTTGTACAATCTCCAGGTGCAGGTGCAGAACCATCTAATAACAAAGCAATCACAGTCAAGTGTATATGTTTTATGACTAAACGACAATTCAAGGTTGTACTTGTACCCATATCCAAAGTGGCTCTATCTTTTTAGAAGAACGTTAATACTGCAGTTGTATGTGTCGTACGTACCCCTGAGGTGGATTCTTGTCAAGCCAGCCCATCTTGATGACAGCAGCGAGCTGGGAGCTGTCTTCTTTAGGGGGTGACGCCAGTCTGCCAGCGTTCGGCAGAAAGATGCTGCCTTGCAGGCTGCCGAGGCCTGGTTCTTCCCAAACACTAGGACTACAGGGATGATCAAAAGTGAGCACCCACAACGCAACACAATAGTAACCTAAACAAGAATGGCAGCTAAACATGGTTATCTTGTTGGGTGCAGAAGAGTTACTACCCGGTACAAGTTTTTCCGGTCTGCTTGTGCCAGAAATTTCAGCTAACATTACATTGACAGTAATCAAATTCCCTTTCATTTCACTCGCTGTACACTCAGACAAACACAAGAACAAAAACATACACAGCACAAACATTTAGGCAAGTCAGTCAGGTGAAGGAACAGCATTCCTAAAAACACAACCTCACAGATGGGACCAGGAGGTATTCATTACTGACATGAGTCTTTTCAAGTGTGTGTTTTTTTTTTGGTTATGCGTCGCGTCGGACTTACTCGTCATCCTCTAACAGCTCGTCATCACTGCACAAAGAACTGTACCGCCCCTTTGCTTTCAGAGGGACTTGCAGAGACATTTCCTAAAGGACGAGACTGTTGTCATTCATAAAGTTGATCAATTGCTGCAATTACTACAAAGACTTGAAACTTTCGTACCCTGTCTAAAAGGTTCACTGGATGAACAGTGGCATAACATGTGTCCGTTTCTTCATAGTCATCTGAACGTGTATCTGGTGGACAGAATGCTGAAACAAGTCGGACAATTGATGTGAAACACCAAAACATGCATACAAAAACACATTTGGTGAATTGGACAAGGATTTTACATGAAACAACATTTCAGATTCGGAAAATCTGTCATTGGAAATCAAGATGAATTACACTTGGGTAATTGCAGCAGCAGTTGCTCGCATTAACTTCCTCAAAACAGATTTTTGTTAAAAATTCATGCAGACACTCATCTACTTCAGAAATTTGGAATAAATACAATTGTGTGGCGAAAGATAAACATTCATAGCACTCTACTAACTTGTCTGCGGAGGAAGCTGGGGGACTCTTTCAGCAGGCAGGGCTACTTGAGAGGCAGGTTGGCTTGACTGTTGTATGACTTCTTGAGTTTGAGAAGTCATGATGCGAGGCAGAACCTTCGGAGTTTGGTCTTGAAGGTGCTCATCGGTCTTGCTAGGAGGAGGGCTGGGGGATAAAGGAGTAAAGGAGCGGTCAACACAGGTTTGGGGAGCAGATGAGTCGTCCAGGGTCACGGTGTCAGGAGGCTGGGCGAAAATGCCCCACAGGCGGCTGAGTCGATACATCCTCTTTTGGAAAGAATCCTTTCAACAAAATGTTCCCTCTCCGCTCATTCCATTCGAGGAAAAATAATGATTGGGTTTTGTTTACAGGCAGTACAAAAACAAAAGTCTTCTAGGGAATGTCAACTTCTCGTCAGACGAATTTCTTCCACAGTTCTGACAGCTGCTCTCGAGTTCGCCATGGTTAAAAAAATATTAGAGGGCCCCTCCACAACTAGTCTCTTCGCTCTTCCTATCTGTCACATTTTCTCTCGCTCCCTCACATTTTGACAACAAGTCTAAACCTGCGTCCTTGCATAAGATACTATGCAAAAACAACATACCATGGAATCCAATGCACTTCAAATGTGTCAATGTTGGAGGGGTTGGGGGGGGGGGTTGACAAGAGTGTTACTCATCCCTTCCGAAAGAAATTCTTCCCATCTCAAGATATGAGGGTGAATAATACATTCGGGTGTTGTTTCAGGCTTTTACAGTCCCCCTCTTGTGGTTCATGTCTGAAATTGACATCCAAATACCCACATCAAGTGTCAGTCAATGGAAAGCAACGCAAATAACCCCAGAAGCACCATGGATTGAGCAAGCACAGTTTTAACTTTTTATTGATTTAATCACTATCACTCTACTATGCAATTTTAGACATTAAACAAAAGACTTCAGAAAAAGGCTGTTGCTAGGTCACCATCTACTTTTTTTTTTTTTTTTTTTTTTTTTTTTTTGCTTTAACAGCTCAAGTGAACTGCCATGCCGCGGAATCTAACAGGATTCAAGGCAAAGGTTTTTCTCATCTAGGACAACAGAAGTGACCTGAACACATCTTCACACCCATCAACAAATATTCCGACCACTGTGAAGGAACTGCATGACCTCCACACACGCATATCGCCAAAACCTCCATCATGTCATCAGTGTATGAGTCCTCTCAATATAGCTCCCAAAAATAGATCCACAATGACGGGAAACTGGCCTTTTGACACAGTTCCTCCTATTTTTGCTGAGGAAGAGTACCAAAAGGAAGGAGGAACACTTATTTTGCTATCAATCAATGCATGTATATTTGGAGCTATTTTTCTTTAAAATGCCAATTTAAGCAGTACTACGTACACAATACGTTTGAAATATTAACTCAGGTTACACAATGAAGTCTATCATACAATGTTAAGTGATGCCTCATTGAGTGCTCATCGCTGATGGGGAATTCGGGGTACATTTCTACAAAACAGCACGACCCCAAAACTGAGCACCAAATTCAACTTTGCTCTGACATTCAACTACCGGTACCTAATGATGTGTGCCCAACAACATTATGCAGCAATGCAGCTTGGGAGAACTGTTTCTAGTTCCAATAGTTAACCAACAGAAACCACAATTACTGGAAAGGTGTCTTCAAAGATTAGCATGTTTCATTCATGTGCACATGCAATCATTTAGGTACATTAAAATGTTGACAAAACTCAAGTCAGGTGGTTTTGTCTCATAAGACAAACAAGAAAATAGACCAGCTAACAGCACCTTGCTTCCACTGCATGAAAACAGACGACAGCAGAGAAGAAAAGTCGTCCTTGTTTGCGATACAGAGGGGAAAATGTTTGGAGGGAACAATGAAGAGACCTTTTCGGATCAGGTTACCTGGATGGGAAAAAGAAGTCCTCTTCTATGATGATACAATCACTTTAAAAAGACACGCTTGTGAGGAATATGGAAGATAGAAAGAAGAGAGGGAGAGGAAATGACCGGTTAACCAGAAAAAAAGGGAGGCGGCAACAAAGCCCGCTGACAACGACACAAAACAGCATGTGAATATGAGCCATCACAGGCAAAACTGTGAAGCGTGAAAGAAGAAAAGGAAAATGACTTCTCCATCCATTTCTCACTCTCTCAATCTCTCCGTGCCACTGAGAGGGTAGTTTGGAACGTGTAACTATTTTTGTTCTCTACTGTGACTTCCTCCCTCTCACTGCAGCTACTTCCTTTTCAAGACAAAGCAGAGTGCACAGTCCATGTGTACTACCCAACCGTATTACATACGACCATGACAAGTAAATGACATGTCAACAAAAGCATTGTTCAACGGAAAAACGCAACCTATTTTCTCAAATTCACTGTGAATCTGAACTGCATTATGTCATTGTGTCCAGGAGGTGGCAGTGTTATCTTCTTTGACCAATTTACAATTAATAAATTAACTATACTGACAACCTCGAGCTCCGAGCACAGGCGAACAGGAAATACAATCGAAAGTTAATAGCATTCACTTATACAGATGCCTCAATCGAGTGGCTGTGTAAATCTACTAATTGGTGTCGTAGAAGAGACAGCCAGTTATAGCAATGTCTTCAGATCATGAGACTGGAACCCGATGGCACTTAACCTCGTGTTTGACACTGATGAATTTCATTGTTAGTTATTTGTCTTTCAAATGAATGTATCCATCTATTTTCATAAAACGACCTGCAAGGTGTTGACTAACACAAAGTGTTGACACCGACAGACACTTCACTACACTAGTCGACCTAGTTCTGTTGTGTAATTTTGTCAGAGCAGCACTTTGGCGACGACAGGATAGTTTCGACTGAATAATTTGATTTGGTGACGTATAGAGTGAATACATCAATTGACTGTGTCTGTAAATATAATTCATAATCTGTCACTCGATCACGTGCGTCACTTGTGTTAGCTTGTCATGATCACAACAAACGAGAGCAATGCCATTGCTCTCTCTTATTGCCGTGGCATGTATTGAAAACATTCTTGTTGATGGTAACAAAATGTCACTGACGGTGTTGCGCTAAGCTTTCACTGCCTCTAATTATAATGTGACTATATTTGAACAAATACACTATTTGGGAACTACATTACATTTTGTGGCAAAGTTCTTCGCAATGAATACATCTTACTCATCATCATACCCATTTTTTTTTCGACCAAAATTGATTTGCTGCCAATGCTGACTTGTTAAGTGCATTTTTGGGTTTGTTTGTTTTGTACAGCGTGTTCATGTTGAAACTGTGGACAATATTAGAGTGGCTTGAACCTTTTTTCCTTATTTTGTTGAATTCAGCACAGAATGTCTGCAACCCTTTTTAGTTGAGTTAAGCAATCTTTTTTTCGAAAAAAGAAAAACAAAATCACAACACTTGTCTTTTGATGCCGGTCCATGTTCCAAAGCAGTTTTGATTTTGTTATTACCTCATTTGCGAGCATGTTGTATCATAATATAAAGCGAAACTTAAATAGGACTGTCAATATTGTCTGCAGTCTAACATCAATTATGAAGCACTTGTCAAATAACCCCGTAGATGAAAGTGCTGTGCACAGCAATGAGGTTAGAACACGTTACAAAATAAATATGATACAGCCGTGTCAACTAAAAAAAAATACATTTACATATCACACACACACACACACACACACACACACACTAATATATATATATAAATAAAAATGCGCGCTACTGTCTTTCAGTCATTGTGGCGACCAAGTATTTTTTGAGGTGGTATTTGGTGAAAAACTTTGAAAACCACTGCAGTAGAGGTCTGCTTATAGGAGTAGCAACCTTACCTTTCAATTCTGGAAGGACGTACAGGATTCCTGCTTGGAATTTTTGGGGGCCCTCTTGGTGCTGATGACCCAGCTTTTGGAGGGAGAGGTGGAGCATTTCTCTCTTGCCTGGGGGAGACGGTGAGGGCAATGGGCGATATAGCTGGCATTTTATCGGATCTTGAATGGCGAGTCGGTAGGTGAATGCAAGATGTCTGAGGCTCAGTTCGGGAGGTGGCGGCCCAAGATGGGTGGAGAGTTTCTTGTGTGGGGTTCTGGGTTGAGGTGTAGGACAAAGATCGAACCTGTACCGGTGCCTCTTTGATGAGCGCCTTGGTGTGTTGAGGCGTGGTTGGGCTTTGTACCGGCGGTGAGGGTGTCAGGGTCATTGTGAAGCGTTGTGGCGGGCAGTTCAAGGAGCTCCGTGGGGGCACCGGTGGCAAAGAGGTGTCACAAGATGGGAAAATTCGAGAGCTGGCTTGAGACTCCAATAGCACTGGAGCACTGGAGTTGAACCTTGTCCTCTCTTTTGGAACTGGCCTCTGTTTCTCTGCATCAACATCCTCTTCCTCTTCATTATATTCAAGAGTTACCATCACCTCTGTGTCTCCAGTTTCCTCTTTCATTCTGGATGCTTGTCTGTCCCTTGGGACTGGTTTCTCTCTTAATCTGGGTGCAGGTTCAGGGGTACGTGCATTTTCTTTCTCAGCTTCGTTCAGAAAATGTTTTTCCTGCATGACTGATATTGCGCCCCCAGCCAAAGGTTCATTCTCCTCCATAGCTTGCTCATGCTCTGCTCTCGCTGCCAGTACAAAGACTGACTGGGCTTCCAGTTGCAGAGAGGTGGGATCTCGAGTTTTGTTCAGGCTGGCCAGAATGCGTCTCCGGTGGCCCGGAAGTGATATTCCTATGAGCTCCAGCTGATCTGGTGTGAGGTTATGACATTCTGCTACGGATGACAGGCCTGCAATCTGGAATGCTCTGGAATACTGCTCGAGACGAAGGCCACTTAACCAGTCCCAAACGGTCACTTCAGACTCGGGCTGAGACATGGCAATGCAGTCTTTCAAACCTCAGATCATGGTCCATGTAATCTGTGGAAGAGAACACGGATCAATTTCAATGGATATTAACAAACGACAGCACTTCAAAGGTAAATGCCGTTTCCAATATGATGACCTCTCGGCGGAATTCAAATTAAAATCATGACGCTATAACTAAATAATTTGAGGATTACTCCATTGAGCAGCCTGCAAAGACACACAGTCACACAACATAACGGATGTCTTGGAGAGGAAGTACATAATTACAGCACAAATATTAGCACACACAGCTTGTCCAGCTGACCACAATCAAACCACACCCATATTGTAGCATCTGCACCCACCTCTCTGTCGTCCAGAACAGTGTTGCAATACAATTTGATCATGAAACCTCCAATGTTTAGACATTCACAAACATGCCTTGCATGTCATTGATGTAAGGAACTAGAAATATATTGTTGCAGACACCGAGCCAACAACACTTTGACCACCAAAGCAGGTGATTTGGGGTTGCCACGACCATGACCGTGACCGTGACACTCTTCACCTAATTACAAGCTCGTGTGCCATTGAAATCATGTTTCCTGGACAATGGCAACATACATGGGTGAGGTAAAGGGCAAAGTAAAAAGTACCCCTGCAATTGGAGAAATACTACACAGTGGTGAGCTAACAGCTGCAATTTCCTGTTTGTACTAACGAGACCAGGACAGTCTTCTGAACCAAAAGCACTTCCTTCCGTTAAAATAAAATGAACTCCCTGGTAGCATGATTTAGTGTGTTACTCATTAAATCCCACATGCACGCATGCAGACAAAATGAAATCCTACACAACCGCAATTAGCTTCGGTTTGCTGTCTGTTTGATAAAGAGTTGTGATGTGGAGGCAAGGAATGCATTGTCAGTGAAAGGCCTGAGGCCTGCTCGAATATAAGGGCACAGTGATCTGAGTGAAGCATGATTCAGGCACATTCTTTTAATGTGTGCAAATGCAAAGGAAACATATACTTTACATGAAGCCCGGTTGTGAGATGTTTTGTTGGCCGTTGAAATTTGTTGCACCAGGTACAGTTGTACTGATAATCCATTTAAATTTCAGCCCCCTCTGATCAAAGTTGGCACAGGCCCGGGAATCGGATGACTCGTAAAATTATCCTAACCGAAGTGGTGTGGGTTGTGTTCAAAGTGAATTTTCCTCAGCCAACTGCCGAGAAAAATGGTCAAGGCCAGCAACTGTTCATGTTAAACCTGTTCATTATTTTCGCTCGCAATCGTCATGCGGGTGATCAACACAGAGAGTGATAGGAAGCCGGAGTACCTGAAGAAAATCAATGCACGCGCAGAAGCAATCGGCAAACTTCGCACAAGAAGGTCTGAGCTAAGTTCCGAACCAATCGACCGTGAGGCAGACGTGTAAGCCACTATTTTCACCATGTTGCAAATGTCCATCCGTATGATGGAACGTAAATGAAGAAGATAACCGGCGAGCACTGTGCTTGTGATACGTATGCCACCGAAAATCATACGAGACTTTTGGTGACACCTGTTTCTGTGTCGAGTTAGGCCAAACTGCGAAGCTGTGAATCAGACCTCAAACCGACACAGATCTTGACTGCGCGAACAAACATTTATCAAAAAATGTCAACATACTTCTTCAAAATGCTGATGTTGACATTGGGGTTTGTCAATTGTGCAAGTGCCGACGTCCTTTTTCCAACGTCTTTTACCTCACCGTGTTTCTAATCCCCTGTAGTTTTCTCCATTTACTCTCTGCACATTTCAATTAATTTGTGTCCCCACTCTCTCCTATTGTCTTCATATTCACCTCCCACTGCATCCCTCCCCCGGACACAAAGCAGCCAATAACAGGGTCTCTTGTGCGGCCTTCACAATGGAGTAGTCTGTTGCATGGGCAAGTGTGCGCACACACGCACACGTACATGGTGAGCGAACACTGTTCGCCTCTGGCCACACATTCTAAACAAGTGGTCACTTAATAATGTGTGTGAATAGGTGATGGGGTGCTTCAGGCAGTGCTTCAGGTTTCATATCCCCTTTTTGACAAATATGCTGAGCCAGGATGTATACACACACACAAACACACGCACACACACACACACACACACACACACACACACACATGACAATGTTACATTTGACACTTTCAGCGATATTAACAATATTTACACAGTGGTTAAATTTAGCTTTTTAATCAATCAAAATCCTTCATACTACTAAGCTAAATGTATTTTTCATACACGTTTTTACTGTAATCATGACTTTATTACTGCATTTGTGTCATTAGTGCTGAACTACGGAATATTCAAAATTGTGTACAGATTTGGGTTAGGTTGCTGTAGGAAAAAAAATTACATTTTGCGGCAGTATTTTCAGCAGTTGTGATATGGTGGAACCTTGGTGAACGACAAGGTTAAGAAATAATTTGGTTAATGAGTCATTTTTTAAGAAAATTTACCTCAGGTTAAACACTATTGTTTACAAACAGTCCTGGCATGGCCATGGAAGGCTCAGAACTTTTTATCACCATTTGGATAATAATCATAATTGGCTCTCCACTCCAGAATTCTACAATTGAGTCGTGCGGTGGTATAATACAGCAGCTATTGTGGCCTTCATTGTTTTCATATTAAACTAATGCTCAGGATGGCGGGTCACTGATGTGCGAAGGAGAGCAGACTATCAGTTAATGAGATCAATGACTGTTCTGATCTACTATTCTGCATTCAGCATCATACAAATCTGCAACCCATGAGGCACAAACCTAAGTAAATAAACCGGCATACAACACCAAAACTTAAAAGCACATAAATTTATCACGATGCCTTGTATATTTCCTCTCTTGCCGTTCTTGCTTGTTACAAAATTAAAAGAAGTGGCTAACAACAGCCCATCAAACTACACAATGGTACACCACCTAACCAATCAATGAATTTTAAAGAGTGGAATACCAGTCGACAATGCCTATACCGTACTGTATACACATCAACATTTTAAGGTTGCTTCTATCTCATTATTTATGTGAGATACATACTCGGCTAATAATAGAAAAAACAGAATACACGAGATAATAAAAAAGAAATAATATACTGTACATTATTATACAAACGCAATGTAAAAGGAAAAAGACATTTGCTCATTGCGCTATTTGAGATGCTCTATGCAGGAAGCTCGACAGCTGGTTAGTCATCCCAACTGATTCCAATCAAAGTGTTTCAAATTTCAGAACAGGCCAGATAAAATATAAAAGACAACTTTGACTGAAAATGACTAATCCACTCACCACTGGCCTTGCTGCTTGCTTTTAGCCCACTTTCAACCACTTCCCAGTGATGACTCAGTGCTGCTGGTCAAGAAATGCATCCAACAATGTCTCCTATTCTAGTGAAGCCACCACTGTGTGTGCGAGAAAAAGGCACATGCTTCTTACTCTTCAACATTTCACATTGATCCAAACTAAAATTATGCTATCACTTAGTAATGGGTGCACATGTCCATAGGTACATGGCCAGCCAAGAGTTTGGACAGTTTCTCATTCAACTGCAGTACAAAGTGTACCCAAACTTTTGACTGGTCGTCTGCGTACGCTTGCATGCAACTAGTGCATCACATTAGGATGACATTCAAGCAGAAAAAAGGTTTCCAGTCCTTTTGTCATGAGCCACATATCATGCCCACTATATTTTCTTGAAAATATTGACACCAACAAGTCACATCCTTCCGTGTACCACATTTTTTCAAGCGTTCTGAATTTAACCTGCAGATTTTTTCATTCCGCTTGACCTGCCCCTCAATTCCTGTAACAAAGCCCCGCTCTCAATGTTTTCACTCAATCCTGAGTAATCCAGTGAGTGTAAGTGTGGCTCAAAGGAGTAATGGAAATTAACGGGCGAAAAAAGTGAGGAGACGAAAAGGGAAAAACAGACATGCTCAAATGGCTCTTTTGCCTGTATGCTCAACCACTGTGTAGTCATGTTGGGGAACCAAAAAAAATTTCCTGATATAAAGATATGGACTTTCAAAAAACAATTAAGTGGCTGGTTTGTTGTTTTCTTTCAATGCTTTTTGTTTTTCTTTTTGTTTTAATGAAACATTTTTATACCAGACCATTCTTGGTACCTAAATGCCTTCACAAACATGCAGTTTTCACTGACACCAATTAGAATTAAGGTAATATTTTTTTTAACAAATTAGCCGATTAAATTCCTTATTTATATGAACGATGACCCCCTTAAATAACTATCAATACCCCCAACTGTAAAACAGGAGTTTTACGAAATGTATGTCTTTTTTTTAGCTTTTGACTACTGAGTGAGTTTGGAATAAATACGCAGAAACTCTAGCTGTCACACACTCTTCAAACAAGTTGCACTTGATCACAGGTCTGTCTCCACCTCATTTTTACGCGATCGACATAATTAAAGCACAAATCAGTGCTGTAGCACAGCAAAGGACGAAATCGGCGACTTTGAAGGAAAATGAGTGTTGCTGAATTGTGTTGCAAGGGGCTTAACCCGAATGAATTCCACTGGAGATCAACGTGATGCTCGTTACAAGTCCACTTTGCTCGCCACTTGACAAAACATTCAGCGGTTCACAAGCAACCCACAAAAGCGAGTATTATACCAACCTTTCCGTTCAAACTGACCGCTCCAGTGTTCCTGTCATTGATATTTGACGACGGTATTTCCACCATCACACGAACACTGACGATCACTCTGCTCTGTGAATCACCGCGCTTTATTATCGTTCACCATCAATGTCTGTTACTTTACAAGCAGCCGCCGTGGTAAAGTTGGTTTTCATGGGTGGGTGGAAGAAAAGTTATTCGTTAAACGTCTTACCTTTTTAGTCACCGTCCGAGTGAAGTAAACTTGTACCCCAGGCTTGACGTCAAATCAGCCAAACATCCTCAAAAATAGCGACGTCAACTAGCGGTTAACATTTTCTCACGAGTAACAAACCAGCAACAGTGCGCAACCACACGCTGATCAAAAGACAATTAAGGTAGACTTTAGGTTCCGGTGCAGTATTTCAAAATAAATCGGATAGCCTACCTATAATGTTGCATTTGTTTTATTTTTGAACGACTCGAGAACTGAATTTCCGCCAAATACTTTGCTTATTATAGGTGGTATAGTGCAGCTCAGATTGTCAAAAGGGGGATCACGTGCCTGGTGGGAAACCCATGACAACGACCCACTCAAACTTGAGTTACGACTTCGCTTGTTTTTCCTGTTGACGCGACAAATGCTTTACATAAAAGACAAAACATTTTGAAGAGGCGATTACAGAAATCTAGAACAACTATTGCATATCCATCATAGAGCAACCATTAAGACAATAAAAGCATTTTCAATGAAAATGTCCATGTGTCAGATACATATGCTATCGTGTATGAAGTGCTGCCTTCATTCATGAAAAGGCAGCACTTCATACACGATAGCGTATGTATCTGACACATGGACACATTTTCAAACACAAATGCCTTCCACTGCCTTCACAACTTTACAAAGCAGTTATACAGTACACCACTCACCAGAAGCCAACGCTAATCTGTGCACCCAGCAGGTCAATGCAGCTCTTACCTGTTGGCATAATAGAATGAGTGTTGCACCCGTGGGTAGTGAGGGTGTTTCTGCACCAATGGGCCTCCACCTGATAGTATTTCGCGCAGTGTAGTAGCTTGAAAGTGGCTAGACTTTTACCAAGCCTGACCCACTGTGTTCTGCTGAAGTGCAGAGCGGCTCACTCACAGACACAGGTTATGAAATAAGCAGATACCTGTACCTCGTAATTTACGTGCTTCATTTCATATTACACTTGATGGGTGGACTGTCGCTCCACGGATGATTTTTGTGGTCTAATACTTTTACATGAACCACAACGAGAACAACACAATATAAAGTGATATCCCTTTTGGAAATTACTGCAGTACTTGTTTTGATGAAACAAAAGCTATCGGGGGAAAGCACCAAGTGGAACTTTGTTGGGGACTAGAGACAGAACCTATTTGGAAAAGAGTGGGAATTAATGGGGAAGGAAATAGACGAGATTGAGGAAAAGGGGAGAGCCAAAGACGTAAAATAGGAGGGAAGTTGAAAGCAAAAGAATATTAAGGAAGAGTAAGGTAGATAAAGGAAAGGAGGGGGTGGGGTGGTGATGAGTCATCAGCCCTGGTGGGCCGGAATACTGCAGGGGTGGCAGTATGACGCACACACACCTTTCTTCTGAAACACGTTTGCCAGTGTTGTTTGCCCGAATGGGGGGTCTCATTATACCGGGGATGGATGATTACACACACCGCGCAGAGCGTCAGCTGCAGGCACACATAGAGTACACTTCAGTCGAGATGTACTCACATTCATACTTTTTTTTTGGCGGTGCATATGCAGGCGATGTGAAAAAAAAAATAAGGGAAAAATTGATGTGAAAAAAAATTAAGCCACAGGCATTTTTAACATGAGAAACCACTTTCTCAGCAACATGAATGTGCCATCTCTCCACCAAAGAGTCACATCTGGGTCACCGTGCCAACAGATGGGGGACACCTAATTTTGAATTTACGCCACTACACATGCAAACTCATGCAATCAAACTCAGTGATTTGTTCTCTGTGCTGGACACTTTCAAACAATGTATTTGACATGCAACAATGGACGCACACGTACATGTGTGCGCACACAAAAAAATGACTCAAATCTGATGAAGTTTGAAAACCTCTGGAGGATTCTGTATTAAATTTGTAAAGATACATTCATACAGCTTTTGAGCAGAGTAAGAGAAAGAAAATGTGTTACAGCTGCATTAGTACATGCTTTTCTATCTTTGTGAGGACTTTGATTTCCAATCGCCATAGTGAGGCCATTTCTACCGTGTTAGGACATTGTGGGCTGTCTTCACAAATTGAATGTGGTTGAGCATGAACACAGCTGATGGCAATTCACTGGAAAGAGACAATGCTACTCACTCAGTGTTTTGTCGAATATCATTTTGAACCTTCAAGTTGACATTTTGAGATCTCAAATTTACTCTTTTGGAACTTTGGGTCTCCCTCTACTGGCCATTTGAAAAATTGCAGGTATAAGGCACTTGCGCATTGCTGTCACATCGGTTCAAGAGACTACTCACCGCTTTTCTAGTTTATCGATTGGAAATTTTGGTTAGGTTTAGATTAAGATTTGGGACAATCCATCGAAGTGAGTCTTCACAATTATAGAAATGATGTTCTTTGAGTTTCGTCGTGAGCTTCAGCTGCCTCCTGTACACCTGCATATTTCGTGTGTGCTTACAAAACGACTAAATCGAATCGCAGAACGACAACATTGGAAGCAGATTGTACTAAGTATGAACTATATTTTTGCAAACTGCTATTTGAAATATACTGTTTTCGTTTCAGTTTCAATGAAACAGAGGCTACTATATAAATATGCTGTAAATTTGAGTGGATAGATGCTTTTCCATTCCAATCTAATTTGAAAACATTAAGATGCGATTTGCATTTACAGACATTTGACCAATATTGCCAAGTCGTAAAAAAATACACGCAATCCATTGCAAGTGGATGTGCAGTAATATGCCAATATGCATGCATGCATGATGTAGGAAAATATGGAACTGAATTTGGAAAATGAGTATTTGCATCTGAATTCTGTCACACGACGTGTTGTAAGCATGAATAGATATACTAGTTGGGAGTGTGTTGGTGTATGAATGAAACTACATATATGTGTCATGGTGTATCTGGCATGCAAGTATCCCTGCACTGGTGTGTGTACGTGTGTGGATGAATACATGGCCCAGGTCTAACTAGCATCTGCATGAATTAGTAGCTGTCATCTCTGTCGTGGGTCTCAGCCAGGGAGCTTTCATCAATATTTTCCAAGCTCTCGGCATGCTGAATGCTGAGCTCAGAAAGAGGGATGCTTGGTAGTGTAGTCTGTTCCGGGTAGAGCCAAGGCTTGAATCCAGGGTTATGTCTCTGCTTCCAATCGGAATACTTCAAACACGCTTTGTTGATTGACTTCATTGCCTACAAAGACAGAAAGTAATCAAAGTTAAGACCAATTAATTTGATGATGGGCTTTTCAATTGCCCACAATCACAAAGTGTAGTACTTGTACTTTAGAGCATGAGCACAAACTGATCAAGTCCACTCAAAAACATGTCGTGAATTCATTGATTTGTTTAATGACTCAAACAAAACACTAACACTGCAGAAATTAATGATAAAGAAGGCTTGTTTGTGTCTAAGTTATCAGCATGATATACACTTTACAAAAGAGCTACTTCTCTCGACATGCACTGTTTATGTTGACTCTATTCTGGAGCAGCTGTGGATGAACATGTTCAGGTGTGGATGTTTATAAAGTATCTTGAATTAAAACAAATACGAATGATAACTATAATATATACATGTAGTATTAAAACTAGGAAATTGTTTAGTCACTAGTTAATTGTGTTTCTTTATAAAACCATATATTGAACAAACCTAATCAATCCGAACATAGTTATGTTATTTGCTGGTAGGAATGGTCACGTTTTGTGGGCTTACAGTGTGGTAGGACAACTACAAGATCAACGGGTATGTTGATTTGATTTTGTTTGGTAGATGCAGAGAATAATGCCATAAAATGACCTCGGCATTGGCGTGCATTGCATGTATACAAGTGAACTTGAATATTAAAAGTGCTACAGCCAGTAGTTGTCTGGCACAGAGGCAACGCAACAGCATCAGCATGTAGAATGAGCTGGCCCTGCACCCTTTGTTGATGCAATCCACCTGCCACGTATATATGCCATTCTGTCGCCAAGTAGTTTACACAGCATCACTGTTGCACTATTTGCTCAGTGAACAGGCTTTAAAAAATGGGGGTGGCCTTAGAGGAGACGATCTCTTCTACACCTGCCTGACAGTCCTAGTCCATAAAACACATTTTTCCAGCATTTGTGTTGAACTATCGATGACTTACGCCGGGTGCAAGGAAGTGGGAAAACTTTTTGACAACCCACTTGGGTAATGAACCTGGAAAGAGAAAGACAGAGTGAGCAATGCAGGTCACTGATGATGTAATGGTTCATTCGCCTGACGGCGTGGGGTCCGTTCAATTGTCTGTGTGAGTGTGAATGGTCGTCGGTCTCTATGTGAGTGACTGGCGAGTCTGCCTTTTGTCCAAAGTGTGAAATAATAGTTACCTCGTGGATCTAACTGTGCCATGTATGTGAGGACACAGTGGTTGGGTCCCTGGCTCTGGACCATGTAGCCAGTCTGTATGGACACGGCTCTAACCATGCCCTTTTTAGGAGGATATTTCTGTAAAAAGAACACAAACACAGTGATTTCTCATTCAAATGTTTTCAAAGATGTCTACACTGCCGAGAGTTCTCTGTCGAGTGTTCTGGAACATAGGAAAGAACGTTCAGCGTTCTTTCGGTTTATATTCCTACCTGCATTTACAGGGCCACGCACAGCAAAGTACATTAGGCACAAGATAATTATCAGTAAACATTCATTTTTATCTGATAACCACAACCGATAATTCAATGAACAATGTTGCGCCTAACTCAAGCAAACGTGTTATTGTCAAGCTTCTGCATAGATGAAGACGTTCATATTAGTCATATGAAAGCACGGATGCATCTAAAACCGCTGACCAACGTGGATGGTTTACCATCAGTGTCCCATTTGTGGCGTTTCCTACTTGCTGGTGAGTCACACCTCGCCAGTAGCATTACTGTTCATGTTCAGTTTGCATCAGAAATATGGAATTCAACATAGCAATAAGTGTTTTGCCGGTATAGCACGTACAAAATGTTTTATTCATATGATGAGTCATTCATCCGACCATTGTCAGACTACATGAGTTCGTGTGCTGTGTAAATGGCTGGTGAACACCATGTATTAATTTAGTCAATTTAGTAAGTTGATTCAGTCTTCTGGTTTGCCCTTTTCATGTTATGGTAGAATGTGAAGTGTTTAACA